AGGGGCTCAGTTGTTGAGTAGACAAGTGAAGAACAAATGTAGAATTCGATAGGGATTGAGGAAGAAATCCCTGAGTTTATATACATGAGTAGGTACGCACGGACCAGTAGTGTAAAAGGAAACTATTACTCAGTATAGTAAAGAATAGTGCAGAAGGTCATGGAATATGACGTATAATATGATGTCGCTATGACATCATTGTGGAGCTGATTGCTAAGAAATGTCATGTGATGACCAATGTGTTGATACATGTGTAAGTCTGGATCAATCTAGATGTCGGAACTATTAAGGATATTTCCAACAAGCCACCCGTCCAGTTTGTACCAATATCGATGGCAATCTGTGTGCATAAGCCCCGGTGTATCAATGCCACGCCGAGTATGCTATGATAATGCATATGGTTAGGGCCACATGCACTCGGGGGAAAAAGTACTGACATGCATAGTTGTCCATCTACATGGCCCATCACAGCAACCAGGACGTTGCTCGACATCAGCAAATCACGAGTTTACTTATCCTTACTTGACAGCTACTTAACATTTGCTTATCATACCAACTGCCAAGCAGCCGTCTGCTTGGATAAGTAGATCCTCCTGCTGGATACTTACTTAGCACTGCTTATCTTTTACTTAACGCATGCTTAGCTTATTAGTTTCTTACTTGGAATAATGCTGGTTCTGTTCTGTCAAGCAGATAAGCAGCAACGAAGTGCAATTAATATCTGCTAAGCACATGCTAAGTAGCGGTGAAGTAAATTACATGGCAGTAAGATCGAGGGATTGAAAAACATAGACAAACTAGCAATAGCAATTGGGAAGATGTATTAGAGATCCTGTTGTGGACTCAGTGGATTGTATAAGCAGTAGGGAATGAAAACCTACAGATAAGTGCATACTCATCATCAGATCCTGCATCACTCAACAGCTCGGGGTCAAGTTCTTGCCCTATCACAAGCAAAGCAAGGGCGAGCTCTACGATGGCTTGAAGCTGAGCAATAGATCTTCTTTTGGCGGCCCCCATAAACTTCCTCATTGGGGCTCCCCAATTCTGGTCTGAAAATGTGCATGCAGTCTTGCTATCCTTGCCTGAAGCCATGTTGTATTTGACGGGGGTCTGCACAAACCTCATTGCCACTTTGGCAATACCATCTTTGACATTGATGGGGGACTTGGGCTCAACATCACCAGATCTGACGAGGTTCAAGCCACATGAGAGCTAAAAAATTAATCAATACTGTAGCTATGAAAATGACTCAATAAATGTTACCGCAGCAGCACAAAGTCCAAGAGCACCAACAACACCATGCTTTGCCAAAGACGAAGTGTCAAGAGTGGGGACTTGAACATATCCTTTGGTTGCAGTCAAATGGCTGCTCAGCAGCAGCTGTTGCACAAAAATGGAGTGGAAGGCCTTCTCAGGAACAGTCATGTCAAGGTCTTCATATAAGAATGTGAAATGATCAAGTAATACTTTTGCAGTGTCAGCAGGAAATGGGTCTTGAGGATTGAGGAAGAAAGCTATGAGTTGTGCAATGGCCATGGAGGCAAAGCCATGCCTCCAATCACACAAGTGTTGAGATGCCTATGGTGAACATGGTCAGCTACAGATGAAGTCAGAATGAAATGGACTTACAACAGAAACCATGGGCAAGCTGGGAAGAATGCTACCTGCCATGTTCTTGAGTATGGGGTATACGACTGGCATGATCTCCTGTAGAGCCCTGCAAATATCTTGCTTGGTGATGTTGAATGCATCCTCTTGGTTTCCAGCCCATAGGATTAGCGTTGGAATAACTTCCCTCTTCCACTTCTGATCTTTATGCAGATCTGAGGGGAGATCTGAATTGTTGAAATGCACTTGCGCAGGGATGGTCTGCACTTGACTTGACGAATCACTTGCTATGATAGATCTCTTGCTAGTAGATGTGGCTGATAAGCTGGACATAGAGTCACAAGCTTGTATCGTGATCTTCTTTGGCATGCCCTTTGTAACCATGACACACGACTGAAAGAAAATAAAAGATGAAGGAACACAGAGAAAGGTGGTCAGCACATACCTTGGCCGTGGCATTCTTGTGCCCCAAAACACAGATGGCATCATCTAGATTGTCGCAGTTATCATCGATGCTGTTGCCCTCAACCTCAGAGGTTGAGACGTATTCCAACTTGGCTACTTTCCTCTTGATGTTGGCAAGTCTGGTGGCAGGATCATTGGCCTCATACTCCTCGGCCATTGTGGCAGCACACTGAGACTACCATTGCATGAGTAAAAACCATTTCAGCATGAAAGATACTCAATGATAACATTTTGAAGAGCAGGGACATCCAAAGCCAGAGGTCTCACTGGCCTGCTAGCTTCTCCATCTTTGCAATCAGGTAGTGAGTCGAAGTTTTCTGGTAGTTGGGATTCGAACTCGTAGTTGTATTGGGGATCATTTGGCAGTGGAGAGCCGAGATTGAATACACGGAACTCGACATTGGTAGTACTTGTAGTGAGGGTACTTGTGGACGGAGGTGGTGCAGCTGATGTGTGAGGACTGGCACTGGCACTCGCAGATTGCATAGAGCTTGTGTCGATGATGTTCACCCAATTTTTGACACACTTAGATAAAGTCAGTTTATCATCAGAGCTGGCAGTCATTAGGACATTTGCAAAGAAAAGAGTTGCCTCAGTTAGGAGGAACATGTTAAGAAGTAAGACGCACATCAAACCAGTACTAGTGCCAATGCTATTGTCACGTGTTGATGGCAGGGATACTTTGTTGTGCATGGAGATTATCACTTCACACGGCGATTTTGCCTTTGCTGCTTTTGTCCCTTTCCCCTTCATCACTACAGGTCCAGCATTGTTTTCCAGATCAGCTAGGGGGGTAAGTGGCTCATTCATCCCTACAAAAAAAATCAGCCTCATGTTTTCTTGGTTAAGCATGATAGATACCGCCATCACTCTCATTTCTTTGCCTGCCAACAGCATGAGGATGAGGACACGGCTTGATGGGCTTAGTGCTGGCAGTGACACCACTTTGGTTGACCTCCATTTCATCCTTGATTTCGCTGATCCATTGATAACCTCTCTTCAGTGCTGCAACCTTTTTGGCAAGGGCTTCCTGGGTGCGTTCATTGTTAGCTTCCTTCTCCACTGTCACACACCAAAGGTGTTTGGTGAGGTGGACATGGATGTAGCTGATGAATGGAGGTGAAGACCATAGCCCTCATGTGAAGAATGACAGCCAGCAATGTCAGCAGTCATCCCTTGCACAAGAACAAGTTGTCAATGCCAAAGAAAAAGGAGGAGGCAAGTTAAGCACCAATAAAATTCTTAAGCGCCCATGTATGGCATTCCAGTTTTTGATGTATCTCCACCAATTCTGCAGACACTGAAACCATTCCCACACTCGCTTGTAGTGCTCAGCCACACGATCCTACCTTCCAGGATTGGAAAGGATTTGCGCACTCCACACGTTTCTACAGCACTCCCTCCACAAGACGCTCATTTCACTAATTCTTCTGATATGGCTGCCTCCACATCAGTTATTTCGCTTGTCCCCTTTGCTAGGGGCCATGGCTACATATATCTACCAGGAGTTCCTACCAGCTTCCATCCTGAAGCATCCTGGTACATCCCACCCTCATCTGCCCCCTCTCAGCCCATCCAGCTTGGACAGCGTGTTCTTTTTGTCAGTATGACCTCCAGGAGGACGTTCTTTGGTCGCCTCAGGTCTGTCATTCACTTGGAAAGGTCTTATGTGGTTGTTTCAGTCTCTCCAGTCCAAGAAGCATATGGATCCTTCCTCCCTGCCCCCTGCAACGTCTTCATACCAGTCTTGTCTGTCATTCTTCCAAAATTGCGACAGCTACAGTATAATCTACTGTTCTCCACTCTCCCTGATCACATCCATGACGAGTATGATGCACATCTTGCCTCCTTGTTGCAAGATACAGCAGAAGATGCTCCCCCTTCATCCTCTCTTCCAACAGAGCCTCATTCATGAAGTTTTTATTTGCTTCACTGAGAGGATGGTTTGGGGGGGAAAGTTGCGATCCCCTATGCTCCTGTCACCCCACAGACCCCCAAAGCTTGACCCCTGTTGACATCTGACTCACCCTGTCCACTTTTGGATGTACTATATCGGCATCAGATCAGCGCTGCCTCTCTGTCATCCCACTTTGGCCTAGAAGTGATCTCTTTGAGATGTGACATGCACAGCCTCCCCCTAATGTGATTCCAGTGCACTTTCCCAGTTCCTGACATTGCTTGACTCATACTGTGACATTCTGACTGTCTTTGACTCACCTATTGCCAATACTTACCAATCTTTTGACTTTGCTTACTGATTCTTCGCTTTTTGGCTTACTTATCCTTACCAATGCTTACCAATGCTTTCCAAGATGATTACCCATTGCTTACATTCCTTACTCATCAGTTACCAATCACTTACCAAGTGTTTGCACCTTGTTTTCCATAGGCAATGCCCCTGTACTGTATATAAGTCACTGTACTTAGGTAGCAAAAAAAAAAGAAGACATCAGAGAGCCCCTCTTGCTCGCAATTTATCATCTCTCAGTAAATCATTCATCAGCTTCGATAGTTGAGACTTTATCAAGGGTCTAGCTATCATCTACTTCACTTATCATCATCTATCATCCATATACTTCGCTCCAAGCCCTCCCTGAGCTCAGTACAGCTTAGGACATTGAATTAAGTCACCATCCATCCTTCTGTAGGCTGACAGCAGTCTACCCTATCGCTTTCTATCACATTCTTGCTCCCTCTTCAGTCAGGAGCACCCCCAACCCTCAGCACTCATCTTTGAGTGTTGTAGCTCGCAAAAACCCTCCCAAAGAACAGGTTCTACCATCTAGGTACTGCATAGGCACACCACCACTCGCTTTCATTGTCTTTTGTGTTGGTTTTGGTTGGTTTTCACCACTGAACCTCACTTTGACTCACACCACACTTGTCTGTCTTCTCGGTTGGCTGTCAAGGATGATCCTACTGGGATGCATGTTAGCCACCTGGCGCTTCGGGTGACCACTTGCAAGTGTCTCCTGTGGGCACTCCACAGCCAGTTGGTTGTCCATATCTCGCAGTGCAAAGGGTCGTTGGCTGTGTGTGAAGGTGGAAGACAAAGAGACAGAAGAAAAAAAGGTACACCCGCTGCCATCTCTTTTGGCTTAGTTCGATTCTATGTTCAGTCGGCAAATCTTTGCTGTCCCACAGTAACTCCCATTACTCATCATTTTTCTTTCAGATATGATTCCCTGCATTGAAACCTGGCTGCCATCGATGGTTCAGAAACAAGTCAGGCCTAACCCAGCACATCAATGTATACCACCCAGTATTTCCACCTATCAACATCCCCACACAGGTAGAACAGCCAGATCAGGTACCATTGCCTGAAGAGGAACAATTCCAGTTCTGACTGGACAACAATGACTATAGTGACCCATCCACAAGCCCTTTGAATCCAACCCTTCTGGCAGAGTTTGTTGGACAAGGTGACAAGTATTATTGGAACTATCACCCAAACCTCACTGGTATGCAGTATGGGTGAAAAATTAAGTATTTACCGATGTATATTTGACAGGGCAGCCTTGTGATTCGTCTGGAAACCCCCTCCCAGTTGGACAGTTCGTCCCTGCAAACTCCTTCTGAAAAGCAACCTAACAATTGGTCACCATACTCCAGTTGTCTGGAGTTCGAGCTAGCTGACTTCCTGTTCACCCACAGCCAGATGTCTGCAGCCAATATTAACGAGTTACTAGATCTCTGGAATGCGACACTTCTTGGTGCTGGCAGCCAGCCCATCTTCAAAGATAGTGCTGAAATGTACAAGATGATTGATTGCACTATACTTGGTGATGTACAGTGGGAGAATTTTTGCATATCCTATACCAGCAAACAACCAACTGATAATGTCCCATCATGGATGAACGCCACATACAATATTTGGTTCTGGGACCCTAAAGATGTTATTCACGATATGCTTTCCTGACCTGATTTTTTGAGAGACATGGATTACCGGCCATTTCAGGAATATGAGAGTGTGATGGACAAGAGACAGTGGGAGGATTTCATGTCTGGTGATTGGGTGTGGACTCAAGCGGTGCGTCTTTTATCTTCTATGTCTCTGAGCGCTGTACTAATGGTGTGCAAATAACAGGACATAATTTCTCGTGATTCAACCATGCACAGGTCAACCTTCATTCCAATCATCCTTGGCAGTGACAAGACAACCGTGTCAGTTGCAACCAGTCAAAATGATTATTATCCCCTCTACCTCTCAATAGGTAACATGAGCAACAAAGTTTGTCATGCACATCACAATAGTGTTGCTCTCATTGCTTTCCTTGCAATCCCACATAGTAAGTGCATCTGATAGATACATAGGAAAGTAATGGCGCTAATGAGAGATATACTTGTAGCTGACAAAGAGCATGTGCCCACCGACACATTCCAACAATTCTGCTGCCAACTCTTTCATTCATCACTCGCATATATCCTTCGAAATCTCAAGCCTGCAATGACCAAACCAACCATTATGTGGTTCGGTGATGGACACTATCGCCGTGTAATTTTTGGACTTGGCCCTTATATCGCCAATTATGAGGAACAAGTCCTTCTGGCATGTATTGTGCGAGGGTGGTGTGCAAAGTATGTTTTTCTACTTTCCAACTCTTACTATCAACTAACTAGAATCTCAGATGTCTTGGGATGAGGCAGGAACTTGATACTGATGCACTTTATTGGAGTCGCGAACATGCAGAAGTGCTGATCAAGGAGTTTGATCTCAAGACCTTACGGGATGTGTATGGCATTGTGGGTGATACAATTGTAAGTATTGTGTCACTTAGATTCCACTGTGCCTGTGTCCTGAAAACCGATTTCAGCCATTCACCAGCAGTTTTCCCCATGCCAATATATACCAACTCATCGCCCCTGATATACTACACCAGATCATCAAAGGGACATTCAAGGATCATTTGGTCGAGTGGGTTGAAAGCTATTTGAAGACCGTGCATGGCACAACAAAGGCAAATGCGATCTTAGATGATATTGACCAGAGGTACATCTGCTTTAATTTACATTTCTTTCTTTCCTCATGTAGGATACCTTAGAATTGCAGCCATTGCACCTTTTGCAGGGCTCCGTCACTTTCCCGAGGGCCATCATTTCAAACAGTGGACTGGTAACAACTCAAAGGCACTAATGAAGGTAATTTTAGATCAGGTTGTTTATACAGTCTGTCATTAACGTTCGATACATAGGTGTATCTACCTGCCATTGAGGGGCATGTACCAACGGAGATTGTGCGAACATTTCGTGCTTTGTTGGAGTTCACATACCTGGTCTGTCACAATGTCCTCACTGAAGAAACCTTGGTTGCAGTTCAAGATACCATCGACCGCTTTCACAAGTACCAGGAAATATTTTGCCAATCAGGTACCATTCAAACTTTTTCCTTACCACACCAGCATGTGATGAAACACTACCCTGATCTTATATGTTTATTTGGGGCACCAAATGGACTTTGCACATCAATCACCAAATCAAAGCATATTGATGTTGTGAAGGACCCGTACTGGTGGACCAATCATAACAAGCCACTGGGCCAAATGCTCATTATCAATCAGCACTTAGATAAGTTGGCGGCCTCTCGAAGGGATTTCAACGAATGAGGGATGCTAGAGGGAAACTGCCTCATGGCAACTATGCAGCTCCTTTTGACTCAAGGTTGGTCATTGGACGATCATATTGATTTTCATCATATTCACATGAAGTAAACAGATGGCAGAGAGAACAGCAGTACATCACAGGTCCTAGGTTCTGGTCCCTGTAACGAAGACAATGGTGAGGCTGTGGACTGCCCAACATCCATAGAGGCGCATGTTGAACTTGCTCGCACCACCTGTATGTACCTTATTAACCTGAGTAGTGCAGTGGCTCACAAAATCAACCTCTTGCATTCAGAAATGAAGCAGGCCAGAACCATGGCAGATCTTGCAATTGAGCTTGGTCTATTGCGTCTCCCTACCATTCTGGAGGAGTTCCTGCTTCAACAAGCCGACACTGAAGACTACCATGATCTCTGTGACATCTCACTATCTGAGTGCCCCATCTATGGCAACAAAATCACCGTCATTAATTCTGCAGCTGCACTATTCTATGTGCCAAGTGATATCAGTGGTATTGGTGGCATGCGGCATGAGTATATCTGCTCATGTCATTCGTGGCAGAACAGGCCACCCCGGTATGACTGTGCATTTGTGAATACTAATCCAGGGCTGAAGGGGATGCATGGTTTGGATGTCATGCATATCCTTGGGTTTTTTTCCTTTGTTTCCCAAAGCAAGTGTTACCCATGCGCAGTAGTGCAGTGGTTTGACCATGTCGGGGATGACCCAGATGTGGATACGGGGATGTGGATCGTACACCTGGCCCTTACTGCAAATCGTCACCTGGCCACCGCTGTCATACATGTAGACACCATATATTGTGCAGCACACCTCGTCCCCTTGTATGGCACCCACCCCATTCCCAGAACCATAAAGCTGCATCATTCTTACAACACATTTACCACCTTCTACATGAACAGATTTATTGATCATCATGCATTTTCACTTTTATCAGATCCATACTTGTAGCATACTTGATTGTATGCTCAAATTCCATAGTAACTTAGCTGCTTGGGATGCTTATCTACTTGAGTTGCACTTAAACATTTGCCAAGTTACTTAGCGGTCATGCATGCTTGGCAATGTGGGTGCTTAACGTGCTTATGCTACTTACGTGCTTGACAGGTGCTGCTAAGTGGTCAAGCATGGTTAAGCAGACTTATGATTTGCTGATGGACGTCGACCATAACCTTGAAATTGCCCGTCCCCCATCTACCCCAGGCTACCTTCACACCCCAGATTGATCAGGGAAGGTGGGCATGCTTAATGAAGTGGTCTTCATGCCATCTTGCTTGACAGGGAAGACCTCCTCATCAACATTGTTGAGGTATGCATAGCACACCTGTGCATTTCAGTGCCACTGATACATCAAATTGATGGCCTCAGAAAGTTCTGAACTGCTCTGCTTGTCGATGCAGCAGGTATCTACCCACAACCACTTGTAGCTGTCCTTCTTTGCTTGCTCACAACTCTTGATGATCTTTTGGTAGCTGTAGCATTCTCTGACCTCTTTCCTCTCTTCTTCCCCCATCTTCATCAGCCCAGTCATCTCTTCATAGCTGACCTCCATGCCCCAGTGATGTGACAGTATAGCATAACAACTATCTTTGTCATCAAGTTCCTTCAGGATTTCATGTTTGGGATCAGTCTTCTGGATATCCCTTTCCCAGTCAAGAACAGCTTCCATGTCTAGTAACTTCATCTTCCTCAGAAGTCAACACAAGGTTCAACTTTCAGAAAGGAATCACACATACTTTGTTAGGTGTCCAATCCTGCAGAGTACTCTTTCACATGGTGAGCTTCGAGTGTAGGATGAAAGGCACACACAAGACTGATTGATTGCTGGTTGTAGGTGTTGAGGGAGGGACACAGGTGTTTTTTGAGGTGACTTAGATATTTGGCAGACATGTGGAACAGGCATTTTCAACTGGTACATATTATTTGTTCATTATTTGGTCTATGAGAGTTTATCAAGAACATGAGGCAAGACAACCTTCCAGGGTCTCTGTTATTAGTTCATTACAGTCATTCCCTCTGCAGTTGCAGTTATGGTGTGTATGCAGCAAGGCAGACCCAACCAACTACCTCCACACCCATAAAGGCAGATGTCGATGAACTATGTAGACAATCATTATTGATGCAAAGATTGTCTATTACTATCTTCAGTAGATGTGCTGGCCATATTGGGGAGTGCCAGGATTTTTTTTTGGCATGGATACATGGTACAGATGGTCCATTGCAAAGAAAAATGTGGTGTTGCCTCAATGTTGCTGCATACATTGGCCATCTCAAATCCCTGGAATTTGGAGCAGGTCCCTGGGCATTCCAAATAATGCACACTTTTAAACAGCACTAGAATGCCACCTTCATGTAAAGCTTGGAGAATGGTAAGAGGGTAGGCTGTCTTTGTGTGCTGGAGACAATTGATTGGCACCCTTCCCAAATGATCACAATATTGAGGGTTCCAGAGTCTGTGACATCCATATGGCTTATCTCAAACATCAGAAGCATGATCATCTCTACTTGTGTGAGTCAGGCACAGGGGCATCCATCTTCCATCAATGCATGAGCCACCAATTTCATATTACAGAAACTGGAATCATGAACTCAACCCTACACACTTCATACATTAAATACATATGCAGTGAGGGGCAGACCTACCACAATCAATATGATATCGAAGATCACAGGACATTCTGTACACCAAATGCAAGAATAGGAAAAAAGGCATTGGGCTATTGGTGCATGTGCTGAATTCAGGGTCAGCTATTCAAAAATCCACTGGTACCCTGCCAGTACATGTCCACTCACCTGATGTTAGTATTTCATCGAGATATCTCTGCAACATGTAAATGCTAGGGGCCAGTATCAAACTGCAAGTTGCCCAAGCACCCAGGGATTGATAGATGAAATGTTCAGGGGTGGCAATATGGCCAGTCCATTGTATCACATCCTATCTCTGGGATTGGATGATTGTACCATAGGTGGATATGCTGATACTTCATGTCTTCCTTCAACACATTGCTGCCAACCCTCCTATGCATGACTTCTGCAGATTTGAAAATGCCAGAACTTGTGGAGTCATATAATGAGGCTCAGGGATTATTACCAAAATGGTAATCCTCCACTTCCAGATCTTTGTCAATACCCTGATCTTGAAGAACACAATGGGTAGTAGGAGATAGCCTTCGAACAATGAACTGAGCTCAGGGGGAGCTATAGGCTAGCACAGCAGGCAAAGGCCCAGTGGCATCTGTCATAAATCAAGCCAAGAATTCACCACTGATGAAAAATTGTGGTGATGATATAAGCACTCATGTTCATGCTCAAGCTTCATAAAATAAGTCCACTAAAATGGGTGGTGTTGACTGTGATTGGCTGGCACACACATATTTTGTGCAGAAAATGTGAAGTTGTGAGAGAATATTCGATTGCACTTATTTATTGCTACAATTTTTCACTGGTGGTGAGTTTTGGGTTTGGTGTAGAAGGGATACCACCAGGCCTTTGCTTGCTGAGCAGTCTTCACATATCATAGCTGTATGAGCTTGGAGAGGGAAAGGTGTGGGATTGGTGGCTGTATGATACATATGAGCAGGAGTGGGCAAAGGTGCAAAGCACCTTCCAGCCATGATGAGAGGGTGATCTGAGACAAGCATCAGCTGCAGGGGTTGGTGGGACCCCTTGTGATGGCTGGTTTCTGTCTCTGATGACCACTGTCTGGTCATGACAGCTTGGTGTGAGTCGAGTGAGGGATGATTCATAAGGCTTATAGTCTGGAGAATTATAGCAGTGTGGTGGGTAGGTGAAAAACTGAATGATGAGAAGCCCACACTGTGGGCTGGGTTCTGACAATGATGGAAGGAAGGAAAACTGAGGTGTGAGGCTACACAGCCACTCACATGAAGACAATATTCTATTACTTGTTGTACCTCCTATGTACTAGAATCTCTATCTTTGTGTATCATAGCTGTATGAGCTCAGAGAGGGAAAGGTGTGGGATTGGTGGCTGTATGATACATATGAGCAGGAGTGGGCGAAGGTGTGAAGTCCCTTCCAGCTGTGATGAGAGGGTGATCTGAGACGAGCATCAGCTGCAGATCCTGGGTTTTAGGAGGGCCTTGTCTGACACAATGGGCTGACACTTGGATCCCCAACAGATAGGAGGACAATGGCATTTACTTATGATACATGTTTGTTGGCTCAGCAGACTGGTGGCATGGTAATGCATACAAACTCAGTAGCCATTACTGTAGGCATGGCTTGTATGTATGGTGTGAGGATTTGGTTGTGTTTCCATAGATAGAGTTGAAATGTGTCACTCACCCACCTTCCTTTGACTTTCATAACTTTGAAGGGAACTCCTCAGAGTAGATATTCCAGCATGGCTCCTATCCTCAGTCTGTGTCTGTGTATGTGGTCATGCCCCACTGCTTTGGCTAGCTTCTTCATTTGTGAGATGAAGGTGTGGCAGGTTAGTGGTCAATGTTCACCTCCCTTTTTGTACATGAATAAGGAGCTGTTCTTGGGTGGGCTGTTGATTAGTAGGTGCTGGGTGAATGCTGTGTGGGGGTCGGATGGGCCTGATTGTTTTGCCCAGTTCACCTCTTCTCCCTGGGGGTTAGATTTTGTACTCAGCAGTAGGAACACCATTGTGCTGAGGCCATTTCAGTTGATGTCTTTGTGTACTCCTTTGGGGGTGATGTGGAGCACTGGGTTGAAGGAGTCAAGGCATTTGACAGTGAACTCTCCTACTCTGGCAGCTGCATAGAATATGGTGATTAGGCAGGCAAAGACTGCTACATCCATGGGGTCCTTGCTCCATAGCCACCCATGAAAATCGCATATCATCTGTACTGTGATTGGTCTCTGGAGGTTCTGTTTGGAAGAGGAGGGGGCTATCTTGGCTGCGCCTTTTAACATTGTTGCTATCTGGTCCTTGTGTATTATCCAGGGCAGACCATTGAGAGTGTGCCAAGCATGCACACTGTAGATGTAGCCATGTATCATCTTGCCTGAGTAGGAGCCAGCTAGGGATGATATGAAGGTGGAGATTAAAATAGTGTCTGCAGGAGCTCTTTCCTCCTCTGGGATGTCCCGGCTATTGCAGAAAACATGGTATACTAGAAGCCTGGCCCCATACAATTCTCTGGTGCTCTTGTTCCATCCCCTGAGGGTGACATCTTGAACCCTATCCCAGAAGTCCAGTGGGATGTTCAGAGACTGTACAATGCTGGGATGCAGTTGCCATTGCTCTAATCTGTCTTTTGCTGGGCATAATGGCTGCAGTTCAGATGGTTTGGGTGTCAGGTTTGTTGGGTAGGGGAGAATGATGGTAGGTTTCTGTGAAGAGCATGATTGCTGGGCAGCTGGTGTCACAATGGTGTTAAGGAAATTTATGTTGGACTGTGGAATTGCTGGAGTGCAGGTCATTGAAATTGAATATGAGGTGTGCAATGGGGTCTGGGATTTGGATGGGGGGGAGAGCAAATTCAGAGGGGGGATAGATGCCCTGAGAAGGTTTGTCTGCTGGGTTGTCTTCACTCAGGACATAGTCTGTGAAAACTCTGCACAGGGGAGTGGTGAGTAGAGCATGGATCCTCCAAAAGGTTTCATTTGTGGGCCTGTTGTTGCTTCATCCTTTCTTCCAAGCCTTGACAACTCCCTCATTGTCCCTGAAGATGTGTAGAGGTTCAGGGGAGGGACAGATGATGATGAGGTAACATACAAGGAATTCGAAAGCCACACTCTCTGCCCAACTGATGTCCCTCTCGTCTCCCTTCCAGTTTGTGTGCAACTTCCAGGCTCTCCATCTTTCCCTGATGATGATTGCCAGACTGACACTGGAGCTGGTGTCTGAAAATTCACAGAGGTCTATTGCTGATGGGTGGATGGGGATGGGGATGGGGAGAGATTGTTGTAGGGCATTTTTCCACCAGCATAGTTCATTTTGTAAACCTCAAGGTGGAGTGCAGGGCATGAATGGTTTTTCACTGAAAATGGTAAGCATAGCTTGTAGGGATGTTAGGTAAGCACTTCCCCCTGGGATTACTAGTGCTGCATGGGCAAGTCTCCCATGGAGTTTCTGTACCTCTTCTAGGTTATGTGCTTTCTTTTTCAGCCATTTGTCTATAGATGTAGTGTATTTCTCTCTTTTGTTTGCTGTGAGACCTACTGTTTTATCATCTAGATTCCATAGGAAGCCCATGAATATTGGTGACTGGGAAAATGGGGTGTCCTTGGAGGGTTTCCAGGGTATTCCAAGTTGATCTGCTACCATGTCAATGTGTTTGAAGGAGTAGGTGTAAGCATCATTGTGTGAGGCAAATTCATTGGTGTCCTCAAAGGCTTTTAGGGGATGGAGGCAATCTTCTGTGAGTTCTTCATGGTCCCCATTGGCTAGTGTTGCACCTTTGTACCATAGCTGTCTGCTGTCTATCTTTGTTCCTCCATTTTGTGAGATTGTTTTGGCTTTCTGGGCCCTGATGAGGTTGTATTCAAGTACTCGGGATCTGGGTAAGCATATGAAGAAATGGTTGTCTACCCATGCTATTATGGGGCTGATTCCCTCAGCTTGCATGATATCTAAACTTGCATCCCTGAGTCCCCCATAGACTCCTGCCAATGGTCCATACCCAAAACACAGTGCTGTATCAACTGCAAAGGTCAGTGGTGTTTCTGAGAGGC